TCAGGGGGGCCCCGGGAGATCCTGGGGTGCGGGGACCTGGGGTCCCTGGGACCCGCGGGACCGATGGACTTCTGGACCGCAAATGCAGGGGCCCCGGGGATGCTTAGGAGTCCGATGACACCGCCGCTGGGTTCGCGGGACCTGGGCCCCTGGACCCCGGGTGCTCCCAGAGCATGGGAACCAGAGGCAGGAGTCCAGGGGCTCCCCTGGTCCACGGTTCCGGGACCCTTCGGGACTTCTCTGGACCCCGGAATACAGACGCTCAGGATGCCCCCTTTGGGGCACGGAACTCGGGTGCAGACCCTTTGCCTGAGCCTTGGTGGTGGAGCCCCGCCACTGCAGCCACCACCCTTTTGGCCCAGAACCCATCCCGCTCCCTGAGAGCAGCCCCTTCCGGGGCCAAGGGCAGCTCTCGGTTCCCACCAGGCGGACCACAGATCTGGGAAGGGCCTCACCCTTTGCTCTCGGGGGTGGGGTGCCCTACTTGGGTCCTCAGACCACTCTCACTCCAAAGCCCTCCCTCCATCCTCCTTTTCACACTTTCCACCTTTTGGGAGTTTATTTTCTAGACACACCTCCATCCCCACCACAGGCCCAGATCTGGGATGAAGTTTTTAAAAAATGAGATGAGGAGAGAAGGTTGACAGGCAGGGCTCTGGGGACCCTGTTGTGCCCCAGGAAAAGACCCCCATATACACCTCCTAGGCCCAGTAGAGAGGGACGTGGATCTGGTGGGAGCCACCCTCCCCCCCAAACCACCTTAAAGCCCCTCTTCTGGGAGGGAGACTCGGACCCTGGAAGAGGCCCGGAGTTTCACCAACCCCGCTGTCACTGCTGAGGCCCGTTTTCCTACCCCTGCCTCCTCCCCATGGAAGATGCAGGACCCAAATCCAGGCCTGTGGCGCCCTCTTCTGCCGTCTCTAAGAACTGCGCCCCTGCCGTTGGAACTGTGGGGTTTCTCTGGGGACTGACTGAGCAGCCGAGCCCAGCCTGTCCCCCTGCACTGGGTGCCCTGTCCTCATGCAGGCAACATCCTGCCCACCTTAGGTGTCTCTCAAAGCTCTCCCCTCTTTCACGGGCTGATCAAATCTAGGAGAACTTTCTGGGTGCCATTGGGCACAAGGGACCCCTTAGCCCCTGGTTTGCCTGGCTCAGGGGCAGTGATGTGTAGGAGTCCTAAGAGGAAGACTCTGGCTTGGCTCCCAGCATGAAGTCATCAGCCAGTTTACGATCATGGAGCCTTACTCTTGAGGGGTTCCCAGACAGGAAGGGTGGGTGAGGTCAGGACTGTGGTGAATGAAGGATCTGAGGTTGCGAGAGTCTAGAGGGGAGCCAGAGTTCTGAGAGTGGATGGGAATGTCTAAATAGAGGAGGGGGAAGTGGGGCTGAGTTTTGAAGAATGTGTAGGAGTTGACTGACATAGAGAGAGAAAAGTATTCCAGAATGGGAATGGCACATGCAAAAATCCTCCAAGTGGGATGCTACCAGGGTGGCCAGAGACACAACAGAAGGCCCTAAATGTCAGGCCAGGCAGGCTGGGCTTAGTGCTGCTGGCTGTGGGGAACACAGACGGGTTTAGAGCAGAGGTAGGCTGGGAGGAGACAGGCATGAGGTCTAGTTATCAAGATGGCCTCTGTTTATTGAACACCTATTGGTGGGGGTGGGAAGGACATGGTGGTCACCAGCCCTAACTGTGACCACCCCCTTCCCAGAACCCGTTTCACCTACAGTTGGACTGGGCCAGCCCCCTGGAGACGCTGCTGGAGGTGCTGGTGTCCGTGCTGCAGGCCCATGCCTGGGAGGACGTTAGCCTGGTGCTCTGCCGCATGCGGGACCCCGGTGGCCTGGTGGCCCTCTGGACAAGCCGAGCTGGCAGGGCCCCAAAGCTTGTGCTGGACGTGAGCCGACCGGACACCGGTGATATAGGGTTGCAGGCCCGCCTTTCCTCGCTGGGGGCGCTGGAGGGGGGCTCAGCCCTAGTACCCGTGGCCGTGCTCCTTGGCTGTGACATGGCCCGTGCCCGTCAGGTGCTGGAGGCTGCCCCTCCCGGGCCCCGCTGGGTGCTAGGCACACCGCTGCCTGCAGAGGCACTGCCCACTGAGGGCCTGCCACCTGGGCTGCTGGCACTGGGCGAGGTGGCTCGACCCTCACTGGAGGCCGCCATCCACGACGCGGTGGAGCTGATGGCACGGGCGCTGGGCAGCGCGGCCCGTGTGCATCCAGAGCATATCCTTCTCCCCGCCACCACCAACTGCAAGGACCTGAAGCCACCCAAACTCCGGTCCTCAGGCCACCTCTTGGCACAGTGAGTGGGGACCCTGCGGTAGGAAGGGGTGCAGCCTCCACATGGAGCTGCCTCTGTCTGGGGCAACGTTATTGGGCACTTGCTATACCAGGCACTGTGTCCTCATGAGAGAGTGGCTTGGTCCCTGTCTTGGTGGAAACAGGCCTGAGAGAGGAATTCTGGTGAAGGGCATGCTTGGCACTTTGGGAGGAGTGGGAGAGGGCAGCGGGCATGTGTCTCTGCCTGATCCCAGGGGAGGTCTGGAGAGTGGACAGCTCCCCAGAGCCAGGGGGCGCTACCTGGGCGTTCAAACTGGATGGTCAGCGTTGACTTCACGCCCCTGCTGGCAGAGACCTGCTGTGGGGGGGACACAACTGCATCCACAGTGGTCCCTGGTCTGTGCTGAGAGGGTCTGAGCTTTGCTGGGCGGGGGGGGCTCCCACTACTTGATGTCTGTTTGCCTCCCACCTGCCAGGTTCCTGAGCAACACATCCTTCCAGGGCCACACGGGGCCAGTGTGGGTGACCAGCTCCTCCCAGGTGTACATGTCCCGGCACTTCCAGGTGTGGGGCCTGCGCCAGGACCCGCTGGGCACCCCAGCCTGGGCCACACTGGGCAGCTGGCAGGATGGGAGGCTGGAGTTGGAGCCAGGGGGTGCTGCTGTGCAGCCCCCCTCCCCGCTGGGTGCCCAGGTCCGGCCCAGGCTGCGTGTGGTGACCCTGGTGGAGCATCCGTTTGTGTTTGCCCGCGAACCAGACGAGGATGGGCAGTGCCCAGCAGGACAGTTGTGCCTGGACCCTGGCACCAACGACTCTGCCACCCTGGACGCGCTGTTTGCTGCCCTGGCCAACGGCTCGGTGTCCCGTGCTCTGCGCAAGTGTTGCTATGGCTACTGCATTGACCTGCTGGAGCGCCTGGCAGAGGACACACCCTTTGACTTTGAGCTATACATTGTGGGCGATGGCAAGTACGGTGCCCTGCGGGATGGCCGCTGGACTGGCCTGGTGGGTGACCTGCTAGCTGGCAGGGCCCACATGGCAGTCACCAGCTTTAGCATCAACTCAGCCCGCTTGAAGGTGGTAGACTTCAGCAGCCCCTTCTTCTCCACCAGCCTGGGCATCATGGTGCGGGCGAGAGACACGGCCTCACCTCTTGGGGCCTTTATGTGGCCGCTGCACTGGTCTATGTGGCTGGGTGTCTTTGCCGCCCTGCACCTCACCGCGCTCTTCCTCACGCTCTACGAGTGGTGCAGCCCCTATGGCCTCACACCCCGCGGCCGGAACCGCGGCACCGTTTTCTCCTATTCCTCGGCCCTCAACCTCTGCTACGCCATCCTGTTTGGACGCACAGTATCCAGCAAAACCCCCAAGTGCCCCACAGGGCGCCTGCTCATGAACCTGTGGGCCATCTTCTGCCTGCTCGTGCTGTCTAGCTACACGGCCAACCTGGCTGCCGTCATGGTCGGGGACAAGACTTTTGAGGAGCTGTCAGGGATTCACGACCCCAAGGTGGCTGGCTGTGGGGGCTGTGGCCAGAGCTGGGAGGATGCCCACTCACACACTACCCATCCTGAGGCCCAACTACCTGTGGCCATTTACTCGTGCAAACATTTATTGAGCACTGGTGGTGTGCCAGGCACTGGGAACACAGCTGGGACAAAATAGGTGACGATCCCCATCCCTGGTGGAGACGTGGCAAGAATCAAGATAGATAAGCAAAACAGATGGTGTGTGAGTGCCAGGGACAAAAATAGGCAGAGGAGGCACACAGGAATGTTTGCACATTTTCTCAAATGGAGGTCAGAAATTCCTCTGGGAGGGGGTGACACGAGGGACTTTTATATGGACGTCAGAGAGGAGAGGGCACAGCCCCCATGCAAAGGCCCTGTGGCAGGACCTTGCCTGGTATTGTTGGGGTGTTGGAGGAACATCTAGGAGGAGAGAGAGGGAGCAGAGGGAGGAATGGGGGTGAGGTCAGGGAGGTAACAGAGGGGGCAGGTCGTGCAGGGCCTATGGATGCAGGAGGCCCTAGGCTTCTAAAGTAGTTCCCTCTGAGATGAAACTTCCGGGAGCCCTGGAGGGCTGTGGGCAGAGCAGGGGTGTGCCCCAGTCTACATATTTTTATTTTTTAAAACATTTATTTATATATTTAAAATACTTTTATTGATTTCAGACAGGGAGAGGGAGATATAGAACATCAATGATGAGAATCATTGATCGACTGCCTCCTGCACACCCCACACTGAGGATTGAGCCTGCAACCTAGGCATGTGCCCTGAGAATTGAACCATTACCTCCCGGTTCATAAGTTGACGCTCCACCACAGAGCCATGCCGGCTGGGCTTAAATTGATTATGGAGAGAGAGGGAGAGAGAGAAACATTGATCTGTTGCCTCCTGCACACACCCCTACCAGGGACTGAACCCACAACTTGGGCATGTGCCTGACTGGGAGTTGACCTGGTGAGCTTTCAGTGCACAGAACTCTCAACCAACTGAGCCACACTGGCCAGGGATACATATATATATATTTTTTTTAATCAAAAAGTTTTGAATATCCCTGAGTGGGAAGCAAAGACCATGAGTGAACCTATTGTCTGGCTCCAAAGTCAACTGCCAGCTGCTTTCATCCATCACTGACCTCAGTTGTTGAGTTATTACAAAACAAATCCCAGACCCTATATTTCATCATAAATCCTTGGCATTTTGACAAATATTGGACCCATTTTCCCAGTTGTGTTTTTTTTTCTTCCAGTTTGACACATTTGCAGATGGTAGAACCCTCCCAGCTCTTGAATTCCCTCTCATTTGTTTCCTAGTGTTTGTTGAAGTTGTTGTTGGGTTTTTGTTGTTCATAGCATCTCCTACTGTTTGAATCTGGCTGATTGCATCCCCTAAGGGGTGTTCAGCTTGTTCTGCTGTCCCCCTCACCCTGTCCTTTGTAAATCAGTAATGAAACGTAGATGCACCAGCCACTCACTAGGTGTGGCCACTTTTACTTATTTTTTAAATATATTTTATTGATTTTTTACAGAGAGGAAGGGAGATAGTTAGAAACATGATGGGACAGAAACATCCATCAGCTGCCTCCTGAACACCCCCTACTGGGGATGTGCCCGCAACCAAGGTACGTGCCCTTGACCGGAATCGAACCTGGGACCCTTGAGTCTGCAGGCTGACGCTCTATCCACTGAGCCAAACTGGTTAGGGCTGGTGTGGCCACTTTTAGAGGTTCAGTCCAGCTGGTGTGGCTTTTGGTGGTGCTGTAGCTCATTCAGTAGGGAGTTTGCACAGAACATGGGCAGTGCTGAGAGCAGGTGGCAGGCTGTGTTGGTCCAGGAGAGATGGTGGGGGTTACTGAGGAGGTAGGCAGTAGGTTGGCTGTGGGTGTGGTTGTTGTTAATCCTCACCTGAGGATATTTTTTTCATTGTTTTTCAGAGAGAGGGGGAGGGAGAGAGAAACGTCCATGTGAGGCACATGGACTGGTTGCCTCCTGCATGTGCCCTGACTGGAGGCAGGGAGCAAACCCACAACCCAGTTGTGTGCCCTTGACCAGGAATCAAATCTGTGACCCTTTGATGTGATGGCTAATGCTCCAATCACCTTGGACCAGGGCATGGTGGTGGGTGTTCTTAAGGCAGAGCTGACCCCACAGGGTTTGCAGGGCAGGTCATGGGATGAAAGGAGGGAGAACAAGGAGCCCTGGAGGAAGTGGTAGGAGGAGGTCTGGAGTTCGGGGCCACGTCTGTGTGATGGACTCTGGGTAGTGTGTGCCCACAGGGGACACTAGGTCATGTCTGGGGAATTTGTGGTTATCACAGTGGGGGTACTTCCGGCATTGTGAGGATGGGGCCAGGGATGCTGCTCTACACTTGCAGTGCCTGGGACAACCCTCCACAGAAAATGACCTGGCCTCGTGTCAGCCGGGAGGGGAGACGCTGGTTGAGAGCTTTGGGCCTGGGTGGGAGCCAGAGCAGAGTCGGGTGGGAATGCAGGCGAGTGCAGAGAAGGGCCTGGCACTGACCACTCACCTGCCCACAGCTGCACCACCCATCCCAGAGCTTCCGCTTCGGCACTGTGTGGGAGAGCAGTGCAGAGGCCTACATCAAGAAGAGCTTCCCTGAGATGCACGCGCACATGCGGCAACACAGCGTACCCACAACACCCCATGGCGTTGCCATGCTCACGTGAGGCCAGGGCATACAGCAGGATTGGGTCGGGGGAGGCAGGGGGAGGCCTACCAGGGCAGGTGTTCACCCCCTCCACATCCCCACAGGAGCGACCCCCCCAAGCTCAATGCTTTCATCATGGACAAGTCACTTCTGGACTATGAGGTCTCCATCGATGCCGACTGCAAACTGCTGACTGTGGGCAAGCCCTTTGCCATTGAGGGTGAGAGGCCCGAGACCAGTGACCCTGAGGCAGCAGGGAGCCACTGAGGGCTCAAAGTGGGCACAGCTCCCCTGGGCTGTGTCCAGTCTGGTCCCAACCCAATTCCTGGCCTTCATCAGGTTATGGCATCGGACTCCCTCAGAACTCACCGCTCACCTCCAACCTGTCGGAGTTCATCAGCCGCTACAAGTCCTCTGGCTTCATCGATCTGTTGCATGACAAGTGGTACAAGATGGTACCTTGTGGGAAGCGGGTACTTGCTGTCACAGAGGTGGGACAGGGCCTGGGACACAGGGTGTGGGGAGGGTGCGGGGGCTCTGAGCCTGTGGGCAGAGGTGGCCAATCCCCTGATCATAAGCAAGGTGTGTGTTTGTCTGCTTTTGAGCAGTCCTGTTCATCCTACAAAATCCCAGCTCCAGTGCCCTCCCCTCCTAGGAACCTTGCTCCGGAATATGGAGCCCTAGCCTCCCAATCCAACTGTACAGCCCCAGGTCCGTCTCTGGCCAACCTGTGTCCTCCAGGCCAGGGCTCCCCGAGGGTCGGCCATGACCATGAAGGGCTTGTGCCCGTGTCCCACCTCTGCAGACCCTGCAGATGGGCATCTACCACTTCTCCGGTCTCTTTGTGCTGCTCTGCCTGGGCCTGGGCAGTGCCCTGCTCAGCTCCCTGGGGGAGCACATCTTCTACCACCTGGTGCTGCCATGCATCCGGAGGGGGAACAGGCTGCAGTACTGGCTACACACAAGTCAGGTGAGGAGACAGCACAGGGCGGGCAAGCATGGGCAACCTCCCAACCTGACCCAACACAGCCTCTATCTGGCTCACAGAGAATCCACCTCGCCCTCAACACAGAGCTGCTGGACAGGCAGAAAGAACCTGAGCCAAGGTAAGGGGCTCCCACTCCAGCTCCTACACCCACCTCAGGCCTGCCATCTTACACCTGCAGGCCCCACTCCCATTTGAGCCAAACCAGTAAGTCCATGCCTCCCACCACTCACAGCCTCCTAGGAACCCTGACCCCAGAGAGCAGAGAGGGACCGCCCGTTCCTTGGGGGATACTGATCCAGCCCCATCCATCCTCTGTTCCCAGGGACCCAGAGAAGCAGCAACAAGACATACCAACTGCCCGCTCAGGCCAGGGCAACTGGACACGGGTGTGCCAGGCCATGGTAAGGGAGCGTCATGTCCACTTCCTTCTGGAGCCAACCTTGGCCACTGCTCCATCAGTAGTGGGCACAGATGTGGAGGGGAACAGGTCACCTGAGGGTCCCACCCGGTTCTGCTCCAATGGCCAGCCACCCACCATGCTGCCCACTGGTGCCCCACACCCAGGGGAGCTGGAGGAACTGGAGCAGCACATTGCGGACGCACGTTCAAGGCTCCATCAGGCGCTGGTGAGGCATGGGGAGCTCCTGGCCCAACTCCCAGGTGGCAGCTGCGATGGGCCACTGTGCCTGCTCTAGGCCTCCAGTGGTCTCCACCCGCTTCATCACTGGGAGGTGGCCATGCCACACCACACCCAGCCCACCTGACTTTGCATGAGGGCGGAGCCTGCAGGAGCTAATCCCAGCACCTGGTGCATGCAGACACTGGCTGGGTGCTGTCAACAGACAGTTTATTCTATATACAAACACAATTTTGTACACTGCAATTAAATAGAATGGAATGAGCACTCTGCAGTCCTCACCGAGTGACATAGTTGGGCCGTTGGCTCTCTCCAGCAGGAGCAAGGCTGGACCCTAGCGCCTGGTTGTTGTTTTTGACAGTTGGCGCCCACACACTGTGTCCCTGTGCCAATACCCCAGCCCTGGCACGCATATATGGGGGCAGGGGCTGTGGAAAAGGCACTGCGCACAACAGAGCACCCCTGAGTGGCCAGGACAGTGAGGGAGGCCCCTACCAGTGTTCACCTGGCTCAGAGACTTGCTAGGCTCTCCCCCTAGATACAGCTTGCTCCAGACCTTACACCAACCCTTTCCAGAGCCTTCTATGGAGACCCCACCCCTTTTTTCTGCCCTAGCTCATCAGCCTGCCTTGATTTGCTGGCTGCGGGGACCCACCACAAATGCGGCAGGGACAGGCTGTGGGCAGGCCCCACACCCGGGAGAGAAGCCCACCCCTGGGCAAACCAGATGGACCCCAGCACAAGGCCAACTGGGCAATCCCGGAGACACTGGGGACAGCCTTCCTGATCCCCAAGGACCCCAGCCAGGTCACACCCAGCTGGCCTGGACAGCCAGGGACAGAGGCACTCAGCTGCCCAGGACTTAGGAGCCAACTTCTGAGGGTTCATCTGTCGGGGCTGGGGACTCAGGGATGGGCCCACTCGCTCCAGCAGCCAGAGGGCCTGTGTCAGGTGTTGGGGAGTCGCTTGGGGGCACACTGTCCTGGGGGGCTTGGAGGCCCCGAGGGAATCCCCCACCCGGGCTCAGGGGGCTAGCTGCCCTCCGCTCCAGAAGGGAGGCGCTCAGGCCAGACAGGAAAGAGGCGTCTGTGATGATGGCAGCTGTCTCTGCCATCCAGCCCAGATCACTACTGGCCGCTGCAGCCACTGAGGCTGCCGCAGCTACCAGAGAGCTGGGTGCTTCAGCTACAGGCCTGGGAACACCACCAGCCCCCAGTGAGCCAGGGTCCAGGGCAGGGGGCTGGCTGGCAGGGTCAGGTGCAGCAGCCGGGGCGCCCCCATTGTTGTTGAGGTCATCCGGCAGCGCCGTGGGGGTACCAGGGCCCAGCGGTGGTGTCTGTAGCAACATCTCCTGGATGCGGATCTGCTGCAGGATGGCGGGCAGCTCATAGTGGTGGAAGAAGTAGATCATGGAATGCTGGAGGGAGGGTGGGCGTGGGTCAGGCCCAGCACAGGGCCAGACCTCCCACAGGCTGGACCTCGAGGAGTAGGCAGGGCCCCTCACCTGGATGAAGAGCCAGGAGGTGACTAGGGCCAGACTGCTGTACTGCCCATTGAAGCGGTAGTGGTAGGCATAGAAGGCGAAGTGGTACAGGTAGAAGAACCTGCAGGGGGCACAGTGAGGTGCCGCCAGTCCATATCCCACCCTGACCCCGCCTGGACCCGTGGCACTCACCGCAGCCAGTGCCTCTTGCTGGTGTTGGTGTGGCAGCAAATGGCATCATACTGGTCAGCCAGCCACACGATGAGGATGATGTAGAAGGCGGTGGTGGTGTCATTGAAGAACTCCGACATGATAGCCTCCATCCCTACAGGAGACCGTGGGTTGCGGTGGGCATGGTGGGAAGGCCAGGAACAGAGGGGAGGTGGGCACAGGGGACTGGGTGAGAAGGCAGAATGGTGGGCAGAGAGGTCCTCACCCACGAGGGCCAGGATGACGGTCAGCAGGGGCGCTGCAGGGAAGGCGATGGCCATGTTCATCTCCAGCATCTGCAGCAGGTCCACTGCGGGCAGAGGGTGGTGGGCGGGCAGACCAGGTGAGGCGCCCCTTGGGGGTGGGGTGGGCAGGGGGCCATGGGGGCCTGAGGCTGACCCCACCTTTCCTCCCGCCACCAGGCCAGGAGACTCACCAATGAAGACAAAGATCTGGTGATGGGAGTAGCGGAGCAGCATGGACACGCTCAGGGTCTGCAAAGGAAGGTGTGTAAGGCTGGGGAAGGGCCACCTGCCCCCACACCCTCTGCCCAGCCCAGTATCAAGACACTCACGAAGATGACCATGATGATGAAGGCAGCCAGATAGGATGCTCGGGCCATCCACATGCTCACAAATCGGTAGTGCTCGCCTGACACCACGTTCCGCAGGAAGCCTATACAGGGAGGCTGTGAGCCCCACGGTCTGCCCTCCAGCCCCCAACACTGTACCCCACACCCTCCCCAGCCCTGGTCCCAATCGCACCCTTGTTCTCTTCGTTCTCAGCCAGACCCTTCACACTGGACATGAGGATGTCATCATAGCCCAGGAACTCGGCCAGCAGCAGGCGGCTGAAGCGGTCCCCAAAGCACTGGTCCCGTGTGGGGTCTGCGGGTGGCACACCAACAGGGGTAAAGCCCCCACTGGCCTGCATCCACCCACCCGGGCAATGCTGTGATTGTCAGGCCCTGGGGGATGGTCCCCAGACTGCGGTCTTTTTTTTTTTTTTTTTTAATTCTTCCTAGAGGCCCAGTGCACGAACCTTGTGCACTTGTGGGGGGTCCCTCAGCCCGGCCTGTGCCCTCTCGCAATCTGGGAGCCCTTGGAGGATGTCCAACTGTGGGGAGCGGGCCTAAACCCACAGTCGGACATCCTTAGCGCTGCTGCGGAGGCAGGAGAGGCTCCCATCACCGATGCTGTGCTCAGCAGCCGTAAGCCCAGCTCAGGGCTTCTGACTGAGCGGCACTCCCCCTGTGGGAGCACACTGTCTGCCCCCTGATGGTCAGTGTGCATCATAGCGACTGGTTGTTCCACCATTTGGTCAATTTGCATATTAGCCTTTTATTATATAGGATTGGTTTCAGAGAGGAAGGGAGAGAGAGAGAAACATCAATGATGAGAATCACTGATCTGCTGCCTCTGCACGCCCTGCATTGGGGATCAAGCCTGAAACCCAGGCATGTATCCTGATTAGGAATCAAACTGTGACCTCCTGGTTCATAGGTCAATGCTCTACTACTGAGCCACACTGGCTGGACCAGACCTCCATCTTTAAGTGCTTCTGGATCACTCCCTACCATGGCCCTCTCCCAAGGTGACTCACCCAGGGTGACTACCATGACCGGGATGCTGAGCCGCTGCCGCGTGGCCTGTGACAGGCGCAGGAAGCCGTACTCCAGCGAGTACTCCACAATGTACTCATCCTGTGGCCACACTGTGGGTGAGAATGGCCTGTCAGCCTACAGAGCCTCAGCCAACCCCACCTCCCTCCTTCAGAGGAGGAGCCAGACAGGGAGTGTGACCAGGGCCCAGGAGCACCTCTATTGCCTCACATGCTGCTGACAGATAAGGAAATGGAAGCTCAGAGTGGCCATTCTCCATGTCCAGGAGAGTGAGTCCCCCTGACATCTTGGCAACACATACCTTTTGAGGGTGTCTCAGGGAAGGGGAACTCCTGGCTATCATTCAGGGCCTCAGGGCCACCGGGCGGCTTGAACACCTTGGGCTCAATGTCCAACTCAAACTGTGGGTCACCAGGAGACAGGGTGTCAGTGGGCCCTTGTGTGGCAGAGAGGCCCCTCTCCTGCCGCCTGGAAGGAGATGCACTCTGCCTCTGTCCACCGTAACCCCCAGCCTCTGCCAGAATGTCGTCCACCTCTGGGGCGGAAGGGCCTCTGACCAGCGTCTCACAATAAGACCCCTCACCCAGCACCAAGAACCTAGCCATCTCCAGGTGAGTGTCTGTGCCCCAAAGTTGGGGATGGGCCCCCCACACCCATCCCTGCGGGCAGCTGCGTCATCCGGGATGACCAGGACTGCTTGGGCTCTCAGCCCAAACCCTCCAGGGCCTCCTCAGCAGCCCCAGAATGAGCCAGTCCCTTCCAGGTAACCGTCTGCTTCGCACCCACATCCCGACCCAAGGCCACGAGGGTCCGGCCCTGCAAGGTCCAGAGCTTCCCCAACAGGGACATCCTCCTGCACACTCACCTGGATGGAGTGGTTCCCAAACATCTCCATGGTCAGCTCCTCCTCCTCCTCCTCCAGCTCCAGGCCTCCAGGCTCCGCAGCCAGGCCAGGGAAGTTGCTGCGACTACTGTCACAAAACTGCAGGAAGACTGGCGCACGACTTGAGTTCTGCTGTACTTCTACGCGTAGGACGCCCTCCCGTGGCCACTTGTCGCGCACATGCTCCAGGCAGTTGATGGGAGATCGGGAGAAGACGATGTGGATATAGGCCAGGACGAAGAGCACGAACAGGGCCTGGGGGCAGGGGGCCCCACCGGAAAGTGAGGCCTGAGCTTTGTTGGGGAAGGAAGGGAACCCCGGGGCTCTGAGGTTCCCTAAGCTCCAAACCCACCCTGTCCTCTCCTGGCAGCATACAGTCTTAAGGGTGTCACTGGTCCAAGGTGCTGACCACCCTGCTCTATGTGAGCCAGGATGAGGCACATTCTTATGTGCGTGTGGAACCCCCACTCTCAGAGAGACTATCAACTAACTGCTCCCTGGGAGGCCCAGTCCAGGTGCCACCACCCCTGGGCCACCTGCTGGGTTCCACTGTCCCCAAGAGGCCTGCCTAGCTGCCTCACACTCTGCCTTGTCCTCAGAGTGCCCCTGACCTCACCAGCTACAAACAGCCTTCTTTGCCCACTAAGCACTCTGCACCCCTCCCACGGTGACAGGGCCAGCTCGCTCTGCTTCTGAGGCAGCTTCTCCATTAGTGAAATGGGGACGGCAGGGTCTCATCTGGGTGGTCCCATCCTCAGGGGGTGGCGCTAGGCCAGTGATGGCGAACCTATGACACACGTGTCAGAGCTGACACGCGAACTCATTTTTTTGGTTGATTTTTCTTTGTTAAATGGCATATAAATATATAAAATAAATATCAAAAATATAAATCTGTCGAAACCGGTTTGGCTCAGTGGATAGAGCGTCGGCCTGCGGACTGAAAGGTCCCAGGTTCAATTCCGGTCAAGGGCGTGTACCTGGGTTGCGGGCACATCCCTCTAGGGAGATGTGCAGGATGCAGCTGATTGATGTTTCTCTCCCATCGATGTTTCGGCACCAGAGTTAAGTTAGGGTTTT